CTTCCCAGTATCGAAACCAGTCGTAGAAAACCGTTTGCATCGATCGTTACATCACAGGAGCAACTGTTTGGCTGACCCAATAGTAAAAACGTACAAACTAATCGAGCACAGCCCACTCAACATTCACGACCAGAAAGACATCGTCGATTCGTTCGAGAAACAAGGTCAAAACAAGATAAAGCAAAAAAAAAAAAACCCATCGTTCACGCACAATGCGTGCTCCCAGAGGCCGACCTTTCGGTCGGATACCTATCTGTGTTTGGACACAAGGGAATCCGCGGGAGAGTCCTCGAAACTGACGGCGACCGGCAAGGTAATGGAAACCAGAGGCGCAGGCAGACTTAAGCAATTATCGGTCGTTACGTTCCATTATTAATAACAATAATGACGGCTAAAGTCGGCAGGATATATCGCGTGCGCTCCCACGGGTGAAGTGCGTGTCGGGTATATAAGCGATGTACCCGGGCTAATAGGTATCCATGCCTCCGAGCAAATTCCTTGCCCCGACCCGGTGTATCTCTCTTCTCTCTCTCTCTCTCTCTCCCTCTCTCTCTCTCTCTCTCTCTCTCTCTATCTCCATCTCTCTGTTTCTCCTCTTCGTCCCCTGTCTCTCTCGGTTTTTCATTCTCCGTTCGTCTGCACTTTTGTTCCGTGCGCGCACACGTGTGTGTTGTACACGTCGGATCAGCTAGCGGACAGACCACACTCTTTTCTCAGAAAAAGGGTTGAAGTCCGATGAAAGGGAACCGCGTCGGGAGGTTCCTGTACCTTTGGCGATGGTCGGCAGCTAGACGAGGAGCGATCGTTTGTGTATGGGACAGTTGATGGCGCTATTGGAATAACATTGATGGAGGAAGTGGTCCAAATGCGGGCTAGGGCATACTTAGACAAGGCTATAACCCGTATATAGATAGGGGATAGTTGAAGTATACAGGGTCTTGTTAGATGGAATATCATGAAACAAACACGCTTTAGATACACTACCGCTCCTAAGTACAGTAAATCCTCGATGACTGTCCGAAGGCTCCTCGGCACTGATAAGCAGAGGTCCCCAGGTGTAATGCTGGCTTTTTAATGAGTCTTAGCATAGTGATAGAGCTTGGAATTCTGAAGCCAATGATACTTGTACGAGGACACCTTGTCTGTACGAATGAAATGTGATGTGTCGTAAGAATTACATATCTTAGCTCACGCTTTGTTACCTCATAGTAGCATATGTGTTATCCATCGAGCTTTATTATCCCTTAGGCAATATTTATTTCAGACTTTCAGCAATTTCGTAATGCCCTGCAACATATACTGCACCCATTCGATAAGTGTCCTAATACCTATAAGCGGGTGTGTAAAAAATCTTCAACAGGTTTGACAATAATTTCTGAAATAAAAATGTTGGTCCATATTTAGACCACCTCTTCTACAGATTTCTCATTGAGAATGGACGACCTTTTTGTATGTAAATGAGTGGTCCTCGTCTATGGTGTTCTTTGGAGGATCAGTTTGAGGGGACCAGGGTGCGTGCGGGTAATCGTTTCCCATCGAGTGATGCGATGCATCAAGCTGTTGTGACGGGCGATTGTGCCCGGAGTCATCGATGCGCTATGCGGAACTTCGGCTGACTTCTAGTTGCCTGGATTGTGAAAGGAAACGGATTCTTTGTTGAATCTCGTAATAGCGACTTCGGCGCCCGGGTCGAGCCGGACCTCTGGCATTTCTATTTCAACTTGCTTCTGTATTAGTGGCACGATTAACATGTTTCGTGCCCAGTGAGCCGTCGCCACAGTCTGTCTAGCGAAAGGGGTTTAGGGACAGAAATTACATTTCGGAATTGTATGATTCATTTAGGCATATTTCAACGGATTAAAGCAACCGGAGTATTTTTTTTTTACGAATGATCGATATAGTTATAGTATTACAAAATATTATTATATTAGAAATAGTGTATTATTTACAAATATTATTATATTATAAGAACAAAATTTTTCTTTCTTTCTCTACTCCGAATCTTCGTCATCGGTTGTCCTATTAATCACGCCCTTCACCAGTCAATTTTTATCGTCATGATCACCCAAATGTACAAAAATTTTCGTTCAATTTTTAGGTGTAGTCGAGGTCACCCGAAATGACGATTAAATTTACTATTTCTATTTTGATTTACAAAGTATCATTTCTGTATACTCTTTTCCATAGGATTGGAAGCTCAATTAAGTTGGACTTTAGCTAAGTTTCCATCTCTGGAATTGTTCTGGCAACTCTACATTGAAACTTCATGACATCCTGTAGGTGGCAAGAACATCAATGATAGATTTTAGCAGTTCATTACGTCTCGATTCGTGGTATAGCCTCCAGACGCGTAACACCTGCGCGTCCCCAGCCGCGTAATTGTCAGCGTTACCGTTGTCACTACCGATTGCGTGAACCATTCTATAATTAATTGGATCCTGTCACGTCCACGGGCCTGCATTATGCACTTTCGAGCTGTCCACATTGAGTGCTCGGATTCTCAAGGGACGCAGACAGCGGCGGCGCGGCTAGAACGAAGGGTGAAGTAGTAAAATCAATGATAACCGACGCGCTGCCCGCCGCGAAAGACGCATGCACGACCACTCTCGTCTCATCCCTCCCCACAAATTGCCATTGCCTAGTGTCTGGGGATAGAGTCGTGTGAATTCCAGACAACCAGCCATCGTAAAAGCAGCCGGACATCACCGCGGTAATAAATAAATCATCGAACTGCGAACAAGTCTCTGGTTAGAGAGGATAGGAAAGTTGAACTTAACGCAAGTTTAAATCTCGATTTCACTTTAGGTGGTTTGCATCGATATACTGATCTGAACGAATTCCTTCTGATTTTTATTCGTCAATTTTATTGTACCTAGATTGTAAATATAGAGTCTTCTTATAAAGGTTTCTACATTGAAATTACTGTTAAAATCGGAAGTTCGTCTCCAAATGAATGTTGATTAACGTAAATATTCGAAACACATTTTGGAGATTTATGCGGCGAAAATTATGTCGTACGAATGTTAACGATAAAAATGATACCATAAGGTGGGGTAACTTTGACTCGGTCGGGGTAACTTTGTCCCGAGTCATAAAATGATTATTTTTGATTTTGGGGCTTTGTAAACTGTTGAATTAAGTTGATTTTTAATTTAAAATCACATTGTGATTTTAATCTTCACATCTGTGATTTCGATGTTTCAAATGTTCTCGCGATCTTGTCCTCAAGAAAAAATCGTCCGAACATGAGAACTTATCAGTTTATATCGGAATGTAATTCCAAAACGTATAGGTCACTTAATTCGATCTAGATTCACGATAGATCGCAACGAAAAACAGGGGAAAATAACGTGCCGATTAATTTCGCAGGAGTTTTCGACTTTCGACGATCGAGATCCTTGGCTGATTAGCTAACCCGATGTAGCCGTATGCGCGGTGATCTCGTGCCGGGAGAGGCGAGAAACGTAAACGAGCCAGCATGGCAGCCTGTATACACGTATCGGAAACGTTACACGGGCGTCTATTCCCCGATCGAGTCATATTAGATATCTCTCTGATTATCGCAGGCTATCGCATGCCGGTATCGTTTCAAGCTTCTAATGACTGCGCCATGGGTCCGCCCAGACACGATAGGATTAGTATCCGATGTCGCGCGCAGCCTATGCTCTCCCCGAGATTTCAACAGGGGGATGAGTCGTATCGTTTCGTCTCTTCATTTTGTCAAAACACGAGTCTCACCCGCCGCTAGGATCTTCTTCCTTTCTTTCCCCTACCCTCGAAAGAACAGATCCGATACACTTCGCTACCCCACCCTTTCCTGGCGAAGTAACACGTTCGCTGACCCTATCCGGTTTGAAGATTCTCCGAAGCCACACTAAATTTTCGGCTCGTTCATTCACGTAAAGTGGATTTTTATAAGCGCGAAGTTAAGGGCGCAATAAAGAGCTCCTACGGGTTCTTAAAGTGTTTCTTCTTATTCTCGAAGTGCAAAATCGCTGGCGTTGAATACCAATTTAATTAAAATGTGAAGTTGCGTGTCCCTGGGAGGGAAAGAATTACTGGCGATATTTGTGTCCTGAGATTTTTCACGGTCATTTAGAGATTGAACCATGGGAAGATTAATAGAATGAGAATTGAAATTAATTTTAAGTAGTATAAAATTTAAAAAAATGTCTGTCGAATGGTGGTTTAATGAATGTATATTCGATATTCTCGAAATTGTCATTCGAACGTGTCTGTTCATTACGTTCCGTTTCTACTTATCGTCTACGTAGATGAATGTTCAAATTCGATTATCTCGAAAATGAAGCATCACCCGAAAAAGTTGTATTCTACATATTCGACCCATTTTTGGGTCGAATCTGGATCCCGAAGACGAATCCCGTACAACTGAACAAAATACGTGATATAGAGTCCAATAGTCCCGGTCGTGTCAAACAGCGTATTACTTGTAATTTTTACTTGTAACGACAACCACCAACCATAATACATTTTTCTGAAAACCGCAGCCATCAAAAACCATTCCTTTCCCGATCTTGTCTCAAAGATCCAAATAGTTACGCCGTTTTGCTCCGAATATCACACCATAAATAATACTAAAATCGAAGGACCAGCTACAGGTCGTACGTAGCTATTATCCCGTGAAATCAAACGTTCGAACAGTCCTTGAAGCACCATGGCGATTTCTGACGTACCGTAGAAAAATTCATTCGTATGCTCGAAGCATATTTATAAGCCCCGTTTGACAGACCGAAGTGTTCGCCGTCGGCCGCGAAGACCAGTCCCCCGGGACGTTGTCATTTGGTTTGAGATACCGTACGGACTCGCGTGATTTTCCAAAATTATGCGGGTTCAGCTTCGAAACGCGGCACGAGGCGCATAAACGCGGCCCCAGCGTCGGCCGTTTACGAGGCGATTTTATCGCCGAGCCCCACCGTGAGGAGCCTACGGTATTACCCAAAGCACCGTGTCCTTGAAGCTCGTTTTTAACCGTGTTCCAGGTACGCTACGCCCGCCCGGTTTAATCGGTGGCAGCAAGCCAAAAGTCGCGACGCCGGCCGTCGTCGCCAAGATCGAGCAGTACAAGAGGGAGAACCCGACGATCTTCGCATGGGAGATACGGGAGAGGCTGATCTCGGAAGGTAAGCACAAATGCTCGGAACGCGCGATTATTGCGTTTCCACGAATTTTATTAGGATTGATTCGATGGGGATTACTATGACGGTGATGGGTAGTTAGCGTTCGGCTTAGAAGGGAGGAATCTAACTGTCCGACTTTCGATTTCATCATTATCCCTTAATTAATGGAATTACAGGGAGCGTTAACATACTCTCCAACACGACTATATATAACAAGATCAAAATTAATTACGGAACATCGTGAATTCTCAAAGTAAAAAATTGTTAATGAGGACAGAATGTATTCCTTTGTATTGGTTGTCCAAGCACAGCTGACGGATTTACAGCGTAAGAGATACGAGAATAGGGGACTCATGGGCTGTTTTCACTTTTTATTTATTACCACTCTGTCGGTATTTACGAGTTTACGGCTTTAAATCATTTCGAAGGTTATGTGTATTACAAAATTCGAGTAGTAAATACGTCGGAGGGAATTATACAATAAACCTACAAAGCGAAACATGCCGGGTTCACACCTAGCATTTTCTATCCAACGTCCTATAAATATTTATTCGCGACGTTTCCATCATAAATCAAACTTTTCTTCAATAATAATTTTCTCTTAAACTCTATTAGATTTATTTTTCTTATTACATGGGGACAATTGATAAATTCCGCTGAATTCAGGAGCAAAATCACAGATCTGTTACAAATTTGTGTGCCTCGTAACTGAATAACGCAAGCAACGAGCAATTATGCTAGTATAGTTCGTGCAACCGCGGTGCAAATCGGTCGTAATAATAGTCGTACGTTCCGCGAACAACGTGCAATTGTTGCGCGATGGAATCAAGAAACTTCGTCTGCGGCCTTGCCCGCCGACACACATTGCATTCCATTTCAAAACGAACACACATCGCTGAAGACACGTTCTTTAATTGTCAAAAATTCACCGCGTCGGTGTCTGTCCGGGAAGACGACGGACTTTCTCCTTTGAATATTATTGAACCGTTCGAGTATCGTCACCCACATCATTTACATGAAAATCGAGAGCACGCGGAGAGACCGTAAGAAAAAAGAACCGGATGCCAGTCGTATCGTCGAGGTTTGAAAAGGAACGAAAATCTTGGAAACATTCCTTCGAGGAGTTTAAGAATGAACGGCCGTTGAATTATCTGGGACAGGAAACGCGATTTCAAGAAAATGTGGCGACGTGAATCGAATTGCATGTCTTCCGGGAACGTCGTGGAAGATGAGTAAGACAGTAATTTTCCAGAAAGATAGTTAAAATCGAGAATTTAAATTTATAGTCTAACAGAATGACGGAATTTGACTTGTGATTTCATTGACGAACTAGTACAACGGTGGTGAACAATCTTTTTATGGACGTGTCCCACAAGATTTATAAATATTTAATATTTATCGAGTTGCTGAGGTGCCGGGTAATTTTTGATAGGAGAAAAAATTTAATAAGAAATCAATCATTGCAGACTTTTCGACGATGTATGATATAAAAAACGAAATAAATCGTAGTCGGCTAAATACAACCTTTTTTCAACGTGGCAGTCATCGTGTTAAAAGACATTCTAACGAGTGTCAAGAAAAAGGGCGTGCATATGTTACAAATCTTTCGAAAGGGGTTCTCCTTTGATGTAGAGCCACTATCACGTAGAAAATTCTTTGGCAAAATTTTTAGTACACGACAATGGCACTAGAGGTCAGGATTTGCACAGAAACAATTAATTACCATTATTCCTTTATTACTACAGTGGACAATGAGTTATTTTTACGTTTCACGAAGTATACCATACGTCCTTCATCTAAACACCCATTCGTTAACACTAGAACTACCAAACAAGTCCAAATGACTTGCCAACACATTCTTCCAACGATGATTAAAATGTCTTAACAATCCATTTCCTCAGATCTTTTGTAACTATCATTACGATACAACATTAAAAAAATTAGTCAATTTATAAATTCGTAAATTTGCAAAAATTTGCCATATGTATCGATCGTTATTATCGTTGGTAGTTCTAGTGTTAATTTATCCCTGAATCGTTATGTAGTCACCGACGAAAAACACTGAACGAAAGAAATGAAAACAAGCGTTCCAGAAGAAGCACCCGTTTGTTCCTTCCAGGTGTCTGTAGCAACGCGACAGCCCCGTCGGTCAGCAGCATCAATCGTATCCTGCGGAACAGGGCGGCGGAACGCGCAGCCGCGGAGTTCGCGAGGGCGGCCGGTTACGGTTTGTACGCAGCCAGCCCGCATCCGTACTTCAACAGCGCCCATCAGCATCCGACGACCAGCCACCATTTGCCCGCCGGTTGGCCGGCGCCTGGCGCAGCCGGTCACCCATGGATGTTGCCGCCGTTGGCTACCGGAATCACCGGCGCGGCTTCCGCTCTACTGCTGCCCCCGTCGCTGAGCCCAGGAGCCGCAGCGGCTGCGGCTGCGGCCGCCTCCGCTTCGGCTGCTGGCGCCGCGGACCACTCTTTGCACGCCGACGCGATCGCTCGAGGATACTTGCAAGGTGATTATTCTCCATCGATACCCAAACAGCACAAAAACGTCCTATGTACGTCTGATGGTGTCCCACGTAGAGTGTGACAAGCTATTTTCTGTGAAATTACTGCAGATATCGAAGTGAAGTTTCTTTTAAATTGAACGGGGCTACTATTTTGAGTGCAACAATGTTGGGTTTCGTAGGAAGTGTATCCACTCCCTCCTTTTTTAAATGAAAGGGGCTATTACTTGTTTTTTATTTGGATAGCTGTTACCCAATATCATAACATTTGGTTGAAACGTTTTCTCTCTTTTTCACTTCTGAACGATAGTTTTGATGTCATTGATCACAAAGAACTGTCGTAACTTCAATAAAGTCAGATAGACATGCAAGCTAGGTCTAAACAGTTGTATTGTGACAAGTCCTTGCGAAATCGTATTCCAAAGTCAATTTGTTACTTTCGACCACGGTCTACCCTACGTTATATGAATTAGGAGAGGAAGGATCGTGGGTGACCAGTTAGTTCAGGGAAAATAACGATAAGTCTCAAATAGTGTAACGATCTGGATTCAATTCCCGACCCAGTAGCCGGATCGGACGATTCTTTTTCTCCTAGGATCTCTTTATTAGAGACACCCTTTGGCACTGTAATAATTGAGTTGAAAAAGGTCGATATAAGGTTGTACTTGAAGGTACAGAAGCTATAAAAAAGAAAAACGAAGAGGGACGTTGATTTACGAGAAGATTGCATGCTATTTTCATCGCTGGGTTCTTAAACGAGTACGGGGAACTGGAAAAAAAAGGTCGATTAAGTACTCGACGGTGTTAGCGGAGCTGTGTAGTATACTTTGCGATTGTTGGTTTCATAGTTTGCCGCGTGCCTATGTATTCGAAGTGAGGAAGTATTTCTTAATAATCCCACTGTGATATTAAATTCAAGTAGATAATTGTAAATTGTCTGGATAGTTCGTATGATTCTTTAGTATCTCCAAGGTGAACAATTAATTCATGGTCTGAATTCAACTCTAACGCCTTGACTGCTGTTTCTGAAACTAAAGATCAATATTTGTAATAATATTAATGACAATACTGTAACAATTGATAATACAAAACAGCTTGCTGGTTATTACGATGAAACTTCAGAAAGAGTATACGGTTAGACGTGGGAAATGGAAAATATTGTGTCCATCTCTTCGATTCCTAACATTTACCTTTTCAACGTATCTATGCAATGCAAAGGTATGTAATTTTGCCAACCAGTTTTGTTAAATTTCCACCAGTTTTCACCTCAGTTACAAACTCATCTGGTCAATTATTTTATCAGTTCATTGCATAATAAATGTCATTTCCCAGCGAGCTTCATTTCGTCCACCTAAGTATCGTTAAACACAGAACCAACAAGTTTCAGATACAACTGAATCTTTCCTCGATCGAAAATGATCACTCAATCATAATCGTTCAAACTCTGCAGTTAAAAACTGACATTTATCATGCAACGACACAGTATAATGCCCCTTTCACTATGATAACTGCTTCGCATTCTCAGAAAAACATTACGTATAAGACGCCTACACACGCACCTGCGCGGAACACATGTGCATAACACCGTTATTAATTTACTCGCGTCAATCAGACATTTTCACAGGCCCTAGATCGTGGCCGTCTATCATAAAATATGAATCGTCCATTAGACTGAGGAATAAAACTCGTAGAACCGCGCACGTCAGCGTGGACAGAGGATCGATCAACGTCCCTCCGTATATCATCCAGAACAATTACATCGAAAACAGCTTCAGTTTGCATTTTCCTAGTTCGAAAACGATTGAGTCAGATTCACACTGGCCTCACGGTACAGTCCAATGAGAGAAATATAGTCTAAATTCAGACTGATCGTGATCTGACCATGCCTTTGATCGTTAGCGTGAATCTGGCGTTATTGTCACGCCGTTCCGTGTCAGTTTCCCGTTGACCGGCCCAAGGTGAGATCGTTAAATACACAGGGAAGGCGGTAGCAAATACGTAGTTGTTTCTCTGCGTAGACGGGGACGGTGACGATGGCAGTCTGGACGGTTCAGAGCAGCCGAAGTTCCGCCGGAACCGCACCACCTTCAGTCCGGAACAACTGGAGGAGCTCGAGAAGGAGTTCGAGAGATCACATTATCCTTGCGTGTCCACGCGGGAACGTCTAGCCTCGAAGACTTCGCTCTCGGAGGCCCGTGTACAGGTGAGGATCAATTCCATCCCAGATATCGGAGGGCTAGCGCTCGGTGCTCCCCGCCAAGGGTCTGTTCTAGATCGCAGTTCCTTCTTTCTTTTTCTTTATCTCTCTACTAGTAGAACGAAGTTACCATCGAACGTCCCGAAGGACGTGTCCAACGTGCGAAGAGTATAATTAGGCCCTTGGTACGGCGCGTGCGCGCAGCCCTAGCCTAGCCTCACAGAACAAAAAAAAAAAAACACGATCACGAGCTAACTCGATTCTAACGACCTAACTCGTGACTCTTAGGTTTGGTTTTCCAACAGACGGGCAAAGTGGCGGCGTCATCAACGCATGAACCTTTTAAAACGTTCGCCACCGCCACCACCGCCGCCTCCGCCGCCGCCGCCGCCGCCGCCACCGCAGCCGCAGCAGCCGCCGCAACAGCATTCCGCTTCCGGTATGGAAATAAACCGTACGTCAAGCTGCTCGATCGCCGGAATGGGAGGAGAAAGTAGCGCGTTTCGGGCGGTGGTCACCAATTCATCGTCGAGAGAGACGACAGATAGGAACGAGAGGATCGACAGGATCGATCCGGTCGCGAACAAACCGGAAAGGAAGCCAAGCGCTTTTCGGATGATCAGTCAACTGGTCGGCGACGACTCGCCGAGCACGTTGAGGCCCTCGAGCCCCGCGTACGAGCAACAGAGGCACGGCGCGAACTCTGGGCCAGGGATCGGCACTGAATCGGCGAGCAAAGGGGACTTCGAGCGACCCAACGACGAGGACGAGGACGAGGAGATCGACGTGCAAGACTCGGATCAGGATGTTCCATCTTCGCCTACTGTCGCTTGGAGGGACCACTGGACGGATCAGCAACCCTTGGAACTGACCAAACACGATCGCTGAGACTTCACCAGTTTCGAACCAATCGAAGGATAATACATTCGACGTGTCTTGTGATCGAACGTTTTGTGTGTGTCCCGGAGTGTACGATACTCTTCGTCATCGAACTAGTGGAGCAGACATTGAAAGACGATTCAAAGTGTCTATCTGTTTGAACTCTCGTAATCCTTGACTAGCGAAGCAGAATAAACTCCAGTAACTCGAACGAATCGAGAGACTCGATCATGGAATTCGTATGGGCGCGTGAATATTGCTGGAACCGAAGGAACTGGACGGATACCAGCCGTTCATTTTGATCCCACTCGTGGAATCTCGTCGAGGTGCGCGACCAAACGCGGGACAGTGCCGTCCGTTCGTGCTTAAATGCCTCTCCTACTTCTTTCTTATCGCCGCTCTATCTCCCGAGTCGTCGTCGTTTGAATCGGCTAACGACCCTAGTAACCCATACAGCTACTTACTACGATTACGGTCCATTTATTACGATTAAGATTACGATAAGTGCATACGAAGAAGATCGTTGCGTAACGTTCATGCGCGATTACCACAGCGTGTGTCGTCGCACGGAACCGTGTTCCGTCACCGTGCGTACACACACCATTTCGAACCGTGGACGACTTTTAGATAGGTAAATTAATTGCTTGGTCGATACGTATCGCGCGCGCTCACCGGTTACCCTACCCTGGAACGGTTGCGCTTCTGGAAACTTACTTCGACAGATCGAACGGAGAAGGACGCGCGCGTTCTTTGTATAGGGTGTTGATAAAAATGTGGGATGTTATCACGTGTACACCCACGAGCAAACTCGGCTTCCATTAGGGGAAAAAGTGACGTAGGAGAAGGGCCACTTGGTAAATTTATTTCAAGTACTGAAACAAATGTTAAATTCAGTGATAGGTTGGCATAAATTTCAATAATTCCCAATACTATGTAGTAGGAAGCCTTTTCGCTACGTCACTTTTTCCCCTAGTGGAAGCCGAGTGTGTTTGCGAAAGTACATACGAAACTAGGACGAAAATCAGGAAGGACGATATTGCGATCAATTGCTATTTTTCGAGTTGTTAATCGTTGAAGATATGGGCGAAACACAGTAGACTCTAACTATATTGCCATGGTCAGGGCTGTAGGGGTCTAAAATGGCAATGAGTTGAGAGTTCTATTGCTATAGCCTCTGCCTCAGCGCCTGCGTAAAAGATGGTAAATATGTGTGAAAAAAAGTGCCTCGCGTGGCAATATAGTTAGTGGCAATATATTACATATCGCCGACGCAACGGGTTATTCTACTTGAGAGGTGCGCTGTTCGACTGTTTCATGAGTTGGGTTCTATTCATTTAATTGTATTTCATTTATTAGTTTCACCGTGTCATCAATTGATCCCTTGTATCAGCTGGAAATCGGCCATATATTCAACGAACTTCTAATGCAATTCGTCGTTAGTTTTACGTATAGAATCTCCAACCTGTGAAGTTGCCCCGAATTTTATTTTAACACCCTGTACAGAGAAAGAAAACCGCAATCAAGCGCCTCGAGAGCCTATTCGGAACCTAGTCCCAGCCGAATCGTTTATGCCAGCGGAATTAATGTATCGCCTATGTACGGCACTGCGTAGATAGGAGTATAGGTGTCTCAGACGATTAATAATAATTTGTAACTGAACATTGTCTGTTAAAGCGACGTTTATTTAAATGAATTCGTTTGTAAATATTCACACACACACACACACACACACACACACATACACACAGCTTGAAAAATGATCTTTTACAATCTATTCGAGACAATTACTGACCCCCCCAAACCTTCCTGCGCCGAACTCCTGAATCCAAGATGACACGCGTCTCTTGGAGCTTGATCTTACAGAATATACAGGGTGTAACAAAAGTGTTGGAGGACCCGGAAATGGAAGACTCCTGAGGTGATTTGGAATAAGTTTTTCCTTAGCAAAAATCTTATCCGAGGCTTTGTTAACGAGATATTAACGAAAAACACCGACCAATCAGAGCGCAAGTCTGCCGGCCGAGTTCACGCGGTAACTTTGGGTATGCGCTGCGATTGGTAGCCAACGTTACCGCAGGGATTCGGCCGGCAGACTCGCGCTCTGATTGGTCGGTGTTTTTCGTTAATATCTCGTTAACAAAGCCTCGGATAAAATTTTTGCTAAGGAAAAACTTATTCCAAATCACCTCACGAGTCTCCCATTTCCGGGTCCTCCAACATTTCTATTACACCCTGTACATCAACGCCAATTTCTACGACCGTTTTTCTCTTCCGTAGCTAATTCGTAATTTCGTGGCGACCATTGGAAGAGAAGTGGAGGGGGGCGGAGAAACGTAGGGACGGGCGAAGAGGCTCATCGACGATTAACTCGAATCTACGGTTTCGTCGGGCTCGCAAATAAGGAATCCGCGCCTGGAAACTGGTTTCTCGTGGCCGCGACACTCTTTTGCGGGGCCCACGGGTGTGTGGAATCGGTCGTTGGCGGAGCAGCCAACACGAAAACACCGGATCCACCCGACATTTCGGATATCGTGGTCCCCGTCAGCGGTTAACGCGACTACCAAATTTATAACCACGCCTCGGGGCCCTCGGGGATGTGAGAATCTGTTGGAGGGGCGGGAAGGGGGGAGCTTGTAGGTTGAAGAGAGATCAGACGAGAAAGTGGGGACCACTGGTGAGACGAGAAAGAAGAGAGAACGTTACGGTTGTGTTGTAATTGAAACAAAGTTGTCGCGCAGGGTTTTTCGGTAATTCTTGCGGTAAGCACTGATCGATTCCCTCGCGACACTGTTAAATACTCGGTCATCTTTAACAGTTTCTCCTACTTCTTAGCTGACAGCCTGGATCGGTAAGTCGTATTTCACGGATAATGGTAAACGCACCGATTTCACGTGATGACTGTTGAGACACAAATGCGTCCGTGGGTTCCGAAGATACACCCGAAGAACCGCGAGATTACCCCCGCAAGGAATCGGATCGCGGCTTGGTCGGGTGAAATCGTACAATCTGGGGGCTGAGGAAAGGAAAGAGAATGGGCCTGTGGCGTTACAAAAGGCTAGCCGCGAATGACGAGCGAGAGAGAAGAGGAGGAAGAAAGAGCGAGATGTCGACGTTATTGTAATGCGAACAAACTTGCCGAAGGCATTAACACCACCCGTTGGTGGGTGAGGATCGGTTCGCGGCACTCCCACCGTAAAAGAAAGAAAACAGGGGACGAACCGAGTAGCCGAGCGTACTCGGGAAACAGGGTGGTTAAGGGGGGGAGGGAACAAGCGTGGAAAGGAGGAGGTGGAGTGAAGGGAAAAAGGTGAGGAGAAGGCGAACGGAAGGTGGGATCGTCGGACACAAGTTCAGGCAGTCAGCCACGAGAAACGAGAACGTAACAATTACTATCTGAGACCGATCGGCGCGGTAAGATTAACGATCTTACTCGTACCGGGCACGTCGGGGCCCGTCTCAGCCGCGATTGCTCATGGGAAGAGCGTGGGGCCCAGCGTTAAAGTCACCTCCTCCTTTGCTCAATGAGATATTGCCTGGCCGGAGCGTAGCGCACCTTTCCGTGCACGGTAAATCGCGCGCGCGCTGCTGCTGCTGCTGCTGCATGCTCCCTTCCTATACTCGTACTTTCTTCCTTTTTCTTCGCGCCTTCCACGCTACGCGTCCACCCTCCCATTCCCGAGCGGGATAAAAGTATCCTCGATAATGCGACACCACCGTCGCGACGGTGGCGCGGACAGACCATCTAATTGCACGGTACGCGTGAACCGTAAACGGTTCGTCTCCATTTGTACACACCCCGTAGTTCTTGGTCGATTGAATCTTCGTGTGAAATAAAGTCCCGGTTTCTTTTTTGTAGTATCCTTTCAGTGGGGGTAATCTGTGCCTGGGAGCGTCTTCTTAGCCGCATCACCAGGAGTGCATGGAGTATAGACAAGGTGTTACCACAGACTAGATATAAGAATAGACCTAAGATCTTATGGGACTTGGTTTCGGGTCGAAAACAATATAAACATCGAGTCCCCTCTTCTTTCACCCCATATCAGAACCTCTGTCACAACCTACACCAACCAAAATCCTGCATTTTCCACCAATGACAGGCCCGTCCGTTGCAACAAACGTCTATGAGTGGAACCAGCAGCCAGAACGTATTCGGCCATCAATCGTAACGCATCGATCAGTCAGAAGACAATTAGTGACACGCATACAGCGCATTGTTAAATCGCGTTTATATTAAAATTTAAGTCTGTTACAAAGTTCGTGTCAAATTACTCAAGATCACGCCATATCACCGTACACCATCGTTCCAACAGCAGCTTTGCGATATTAATTTACCAACAAGCAAGCGGCAAATCTCGAGCTTATCGCGTGTACATACGTACGTCGAAAGACAAAAATGGTTTAAGAAGACCTGACCTTGCGCATAAACACAGCAGCAGCAGTGTACATAAGTATCGGTAATCGGTATTCCTCTGGGCTATCATGTCGTTCCTTCGATCATTCCCAGCCGAGGCCAACCAGAGATCGACAGTGGTATCGGTTACGCTCGGATCCAGCCACACATTCCTCGATTCCCCCCACGCCGATCCAGAAAATCCGTTATCACGAACACGTTAACGCGTAACGAAAGACGCAGTCGATCGAGGACCACGAAGAAATCCCAAAAGTGGACAGTGTTGGGTGCGGGAAGGGGAGGGGGACCTGGGAGGCAAAGGATGCCACGGTCCCCAGCAATAATACGCGAGAAATCGTGAATTAATGGGAAGGGGGGGGACCTGGGAGGCAAAGGATGCCACGGTCCCCAGCAATAATACGCGAGAAATCGTGAATTAGTGAGCGTCTTTTTGAGCGAGAGAGCGGACGGAGGAAAGGAGTGCCCGATGATTTCTCGCCCAATTAGAGTCGACCGGGCTATAAACTTCTCCCGCGGATAAGATAGGACCTCGGTTTTCTGTGTTCCGTTCACGATGGAAACCAAACGGGAGGGCGAAGACTGGCGAGGGGAAGTGGAA